TTCCGGGCCCTCTTCACCCTGCGGAACTTGGGCGGCCGCGCGGCCGTGGAGTGGATCAGCCGCGCCTTTGGAGACGGCTCGGCGCTACTGAAGCACGAGCTGGCCTTTTGCCTCGGCCAGATGCAAGCCGAGGCGGCCATCCCGGTGCTCATCCGCGTGCTGGAGGATACGGCTCAGGAGCCCATGGTCAGGCACGAAGCAGGTACGGTAGCAGCTCCTGAGGCTCTGAGGGCAGGGGAAGGAGCTGGCTGAGAAGTGGGGCTTGGGGGTGTTTTCCCCACGGTACAGAGCAGCTCCTGGGGGCCTGATCCAGCTTGGGTGTCAAACCTTGAGTCACATAGCATCTCACCACCTCCCCTGGCCAGACCTGGCAGGACAGGTTGGCCAGGTCCTGCTGTTCCTGCAGGCCAGGCTTGTCCTGTTGTGTTTGTCCTGTTTGTAATTGGTCAGTCTGGCCTGTGTCTACATTTGCCCCATTTGAGATTGTTCACTTAGGCCTGTGTCTGTGCTTTAGAGCAAGGCATTCCAGAGGACACAGCAGGGTTCTCCTCATATAGACACCCTCATAACATCATGCTACATGCTTCAGGTGAAGCTCTGGGCGCTATCGGGAACCCTGATGTGCTGGATATCCTGAAACGCTATTCCCAGGATCCTGTGGTCGAGGTGAGGTTCCTGAGAGGTCATTTCCTCTGGGATGCAGCGCTGCTGGTCTCGGAGGGCATGGCAGGTCCTGCCTGGGCAGGTGGGTGGGGACATCACAGTGACATCCTGCAGCATGCTGGGGTTCTCCTGGTGCTGTCCAGTGCTGTTCTGCAGCCAGGGCAATGTCCCTGTCCCCACAGGTGGCAGAAACGTGTCAGCTGGCTGTGAGGAGGCTGGAGTGGCTGCAGAACAACAAGGAGAAGCCAGGCACCAGCCCATACCTCTCCGTAGATCCTGCTCCCCCCGCTGAGGAGACGGATGTTGCCAAGCTCCGGGAGATCCTCCTGGATGAGTCCCAGGAGCTCTTTGATCGTTACCGGGCCATGTTTGCCCTGCGGAACATTGGGGGCCAGGCTGCTGTGCTGGCACTGGCAGAAGGTGAGGGCCTGTCCTTGCTGTGGGTCTGTCCATGCTAATCTGGGATGAGCCCTTCCCAAATCCAGGACTGCCAGAACTGTTCTTGTGTGTTAGTGTCTAGGGCTGCTGTTCCCTGCTACATTACAGAGTGCTGGGTGGTCTCTGGTGTTCCAGAGCCCCCTTGCCATCCTCCAGACACCCTTCCCTGAGGGAGGGAAGGCACTGGCTGTGATGGTAGACTGGGACCTGCTGGTCTGACCCATTGTCAGACCCAGCCTGTGGTTTTTGGGGTCCTACTCGTAGGCTTCTGGTGTTTAGGAATAGTTCTGGAGAGGGGTATGTCCCCTGGTGGGAAGGGGGCAGACCACAGCCCAGGAACTGTGTGGACCCACCCCCAGCCCAAGGGAAGTGGATCAGGCACTCCAGCCATCTGGGACTGTTGAGATCCATAAGATGGGAGCTGTGAGCTTCTGCGGCATGGTCCCAGAGGGCTGGAGACCAAGCCTCTGGTCCGGGCCATGCTGCCATCCCCTGTGGGGAACATTGTGTGGTGGGGCAGAACTTGAGCAGGTGGGGTCAGCAGCTCTTCTGGGGGTTGGGTGCTGCCATCAGAGGAGGCACTGGGACAGGGCTGGGATCAGGGATCGGGGTGGGATCATAGAGCAGGGTGGGACACCCCTTCCTGTACATGGGGCTGGGGGAGTAGCCCTTGGCATCCCCAGCTTTGTGGGGCCTCCCTCCAAGCGTCCTGGTGTGTTCTGGGGCATCCTGGTGCATTTTGGGGCATCCCAGCTCACTGTTCCCCCTCCCACAGGGCTGCATTGCGGCAGCGCGCTGTTCCGCCATGAGATCGGGTACGTGCTGGGGCAGCTGCAGGACGAGGCGTGTGTCCCTCAGCTGACGGCCGCGCTGCACAGCCGCACCGAGAGCCCCATGGTGCGGCACGAGTGCGCTGAGGCTCTGGGCTCCATCGCCCGGCCCTCCTGCCTGCGGGCCCTGCGCGCCTTCGCCAGCGACGAGGAGCGCGTGGTGCGCGAGAGCTGCCAGGTGGCCCTGGACATGTACGAGTATGAAAACGGCACCCAGTTCCAGTACGCCGATGGGCTCTGCAAGCTGCAGGCCTCCTCCTGAGCCTGGACTGGGGGCACTGAGGTGGGTGTCCTACCTCACAGCCTCTCCTGCTGCCAACGGTGCTTTCACGGCCACCTCTGTCAGCATGGATCTGTGCCTTGCCAGGCAGAGCTGGAGGAGGGACTGGGTTTTCTCCCTGGCACAATTACAACCACCTTTTGCCTCCAAATCCAGGCTGAGCTGCTACTTGCCTCCACATCGCTCCTTGCCAGCCACTGTTTCCGGGATCTGCCCCTTTTCCCTGCCAGGATCAGCACTGCCTGCCTGCAGCATGGCTTGGGGCTTGGACCAGGTGGGCTCTGCTTGGCACGTCAGAACCTGCTCCAGCTCTGCAGGGCTTGGGCCTGCCCTGGGTTGGTGCTGCTAAGTCTGCAGCTCCAATCTCCCCAGCTGAGTTTTGCTGGGAGCCAGGATGGGCTTTGGGCACCCGCTCTTGTGGGCTATGGTATTAGGATGCTTCAAAATTGCTCTCAGTGCTGGCGCTGAGCCAGGGCCCTCCTCACCCCCACAGTGGGTTTGGTTTCTCCTGTTGGGACAAGCTGGAGCTGAGCCTGTGGTAGCCTCTGCCTGAGGATGGGGTTTGTTTCATGACAAAGTTGGGAAAATGGCTGGGTTTTTCCTGCAGGGAAGAAAAAAAGGTTTTTTTCTGCTGCCATGAGGGTGGGCAGGGTGAGACGGAGCTTGCCTGGGCCTTCCCCCATGTTTAACCAGGGCCAGGAGGGCTGAGGCTGCTGCTGGCACCCAAATCCCTCAGCCAGCCCGGCCTGGGCACTGGGGTTTCGGGTTTGGCAGGGAATAAAGCACTGGCACAGGAAGCTGGACTGAGTTGAGCTGTGATTTACCTGTGCCCAGGTGTGGAGTACACCCAGTGTCATGGGGTCAAGCCTTGGGCGGGAGCCCGGGGGCTGCCAAAATGAAATCATTGAGGTTGGAAAGGACGTTTAAAATCGAGTCCAGGCACGTTGGGAGGAGGAGGGAGTTGGGTCCCTGATGGCATGAGGTAAACCCCCCCCAGCTCTGGGGAGGAGGATGAACTGTCTGAGGTGCCCTGGTAGGTCCCACTGCCCTGCAGAGCCTGACATCCTGCTGGGCACACCTCTTCCCCTTGTCCAAGGGCTCCCTGTGAGTCACTCCCAGGCTCAATCCTCTTAGTCCCTCAAGCCAGCTCAGCATCCCCAGGGCTCTGATGCTCAGACAGCCAAGGGCCAGCCTTGGCCATGGCCCAGTCTGACCCAGTTCAGAACCCCATGGAAAGGGCTCTTAGTCAAGATGAGATCAGTTTTGGTCACCTGTACACACTGAGAGTCAGTGACATGTGCCTGAGTCCTGTGGGTAGGGTCACCTGTGTATGATGTGGAGGGTGACGGGCTCCAGACTGCAGTTTGCCAGTGCTAGGGAGAAACATCTGATGTTGTTTGGAGTCAGCAGGTGTTACAGGTTGCTTGCCGCTCTTCTCTCACTCTCCATAGCCCCTGGGTGATGGGCAGGACGCAGATGGCACTGGTGTGTCCATGTCCATATCCATCCCCAGGACACTGAGATGGGTGATTTCCCCCAGGCCATGTTATCATGTCTGCTGTTCCCTTCTTGGCACATGGGCTCCAGCACCCTGGCGTTTGCCAGGCTGTCCCCACTTACCACCTTGGCTGCCCCCACCTTTGTTCTCCAGTTTTTCCACTGGAGAACTTACTTGCAGGGTTGTTTCCCAATCATTCTGTGCCAACATTTGTCTCTGCTCTCCCAAACACCTTTTAAGATAAAATTGAAACAAAATGCATGTCTGATGCTGGGATATGAGCAGGGGTGACCTGGTGCAGCAGAGCTGGGAGGTGCTGGAGTGGAGCAGGGCTGAGCCTTGTTACTGAACCCCACCAGCACCTTTACCCCTCCCAGTCTAGCCTGTGCTGGGAAGGGTTTGGGGTTTCTCCAAAACTGCTGCTGGTCTGGGCTAAACCCTACGCCCTCTCGGTGTGGAGAGAATTGCTTTTGGAGGGAGTATGGACTCTGCACCCCTCTGTAGGCTGCTCTGCACTGGGGAGGTGATACTGGCTGCTGGGGTGACACGTGGCAGCCATCTGGGAAGGCGACAGCCTCTTGCCATGGGCTGCTTCACTGTACAGCAGAGGGGACCCTGTGGGAGCTCCTGTGGCAGAGGCTGCATCCCCATCCCTTCTGCCCATCATGTCCTGCTCTGAGGGTGCTGTGTCCTCTGGGATCTCAACCATCTGCTCCAGGGATCCAGAGCCTGCTGAGCAATTTAACCCAGCCCAGGGGATGGAGGAAAGACCTTGGGTATCCCTCCCCATCCTTGTCTTTGGTGGTTCTCCAGCTGCAGGTGACTCCCCACTCCCTGAGGGCAGTGGTGCTTCCATAGGGGCAGGATTTGGGGACCCTAACCCACATTGGAGCCTACTGGTCACCCCCCATGCTGAGGCAGCTGGGCTGTGCCTGGATTAGCAGGTGCTAAGCTCCTTCTCAGCAACACAGCTCTATCGCCGGGTTAGTGGCACTGCCACCAGCCATGGGGACACCACTGTCCCTGTGAGCTGCCAGCACTGAGGAACTTTGTGGTCCCTGATGCCACTTCCCTTAAGTCCCCTGCGTGGCAGAGGCTTTGGTGGCTCGGGCTGGGGGTGCAGGGATAGCTTGCCATGGCCCTGGCAGGGGGTATCCCTGGCACCAGGGGGACATGGGGGCCACGGCACTTGCTGCAGGCCCCCCCCGAGGAGGACGGGGTGTTGTACGTGGACTACAAGCCCCCCGCCCTGGACAGCATCCGCCTGCCCCGCTATGTCCTGTACCTGATGATGGCGGCAACACTGGTGCTGGTGGTGGCATATGCCATCGTGGGGCACCTCATCAAGGACCTGGTGCACGACTTTGCTGGTGAGTGCTACCTACCCACAGCAGGGTTGGGCTTTGGGGTGGGCAGGGGGCTGGGGGTATCTCCCCCCACATAAGACTGTGTTGTGGCAGGGCTGGTGCTGCTGACAGCTCCATCTCTGTCTCTGCAGACTGGGCATTTGGGCCCAAGCCGGAGGAGAAGGAGGGGATGGCTGAGGGCACTGTGCTGGAGGCAGAGTGGCTGGAGGACAAGGTGCTGGTGGAGCAGAAGGCAGAGGATGAAGGCAGTGACATCCTGCCTGGCACAGACATCCCGCTGGGGTTGCTCATTCCACGCAGCTCCGTCTCCTTTGCCGACTCCCACAAGAAGAGGTTCTTCTAGGGCCAGGGGACACCCCTGCCCCCAGCAGGACCCTGTAGCCCTGCCTGACCATTAGGTCACAGCATGTTCCTGGCCATAGGCCAGCACTGGCACACAGCCTCCCCCTCCCTGCCCAGCCCTAACGCTGCTCTCAGGGCTCCTCTTGGGCTGTCATGCCAATAAAGCCACCTGCCCCAGCCCTGCTCACCCCTTGGCCCAGCATGGGGGGTGGCAGGGCTGGGACATCCCAACCTTTTCCTGGAGCAGCAGCACCCCTTGGCACAGCCATGCCACCCCTGGCACATGGGTGTATAAAAGCTTGGGGGTTCAAACCTATGGTGTGGGGGCACAGCCCATGGTGGCAGGGGGCATGGACACAGGTGCACACATGCACATGGAAATATGGATACACCCCTGCATGGGCCAATGCAGCATGGGCATATAGGTAGGGACAGACAGATTGACAGCTGGATGCTGAGGCTGGCTATGCCCCCACCACCCCCTCAGTCCCCTGGCACTGCCAGACCATGCTCAGTGGCACCCACAGGTAGCCCCAAACCAGTCCTGGGAGACAAAGCACCCTGAAGCCTCGCTTGGGTTCTGGGTGAGGGCACTGAGGATGGGGGCTGTTGTATGGACATGCACCCCCTGTCTTAAACCCAATCTGAGGATGGATCCTTGCGCCTCCAGTCTCATTTGCCCCTTGAGAAATTGCCACAGGCAGGATGGTCCTGCTAAAGTTTGCTGTCCTTCCCTGGAGTGCTGCTGGCCACCCTCTGCCTCAATTTTCCTTGTGCCCTGGTGGATGGACACCCTGCCATGGTCTCCCTGAGCTAACCCAGTATTTCACTCTTGACAGTATGCAGTTGAAGAGAGAGTTGACTCTCTCCCTGAGGATATGATGGGGTCCCACCTGGGATTATCTGGGGCCAGCTGGCTCATGCCCAGCCTGGTGGCAGCCTGGCATTATCCACCCCTCCGTGCTGCCCCATCTCCATGGGATCTGCCCCAGCCCTGACAGCAGGGATAGGGGGAACCAGGCAGGGTGAGCACTTCTCCACCACATCACCCATCTGTTCTTCCACCTGTGCACCCACCCACCTGTCTGTCCCTCCCTCCATCCAGCCACCTACCCTGGGGGTGGTCCCTAGTCATGGGCACAGGGACGGCTGTCCTTCGCCACTGTGGTCCCGGAGGTGGTGACCATTGGGTGCTGTGGGGTGCCGGTGCCTGAGCCAGGGAGTGGTACCACCTCCCAGGGGTGACAGGAGCAATGTTGCCATGGTGCTTGGTGCCATTTTATCTTGGGGCTAATAAAGGCGCCCATTGCCCTGGGTGCAGAGTGCAGGCACAATAGCAGCACGGGACAGAAGCTCACCTTCAGAAGCAGGATCCAGACGCACCCCAGCCTCCCACCCAAAAATGCCAAAGCCCTTGCAGCCCCTCTCGCTCCTGGTCCTGCTCATCCTCGCTGCCGTTGCCCAGGGACAGGCTGGTAGGTGCCCCCATGACCCTCTATTCCACTGTGCCCTCGGGTGCCTGGGGATGTGGCCAGGGCCTCCCCAGGTATAAGATCAGCTCCTGGGAAACCTCTCCGGTGGGACCAATCTGTCCCAATGCTCCAACAGTAATTTTTGGGGGCAGAGCAGAAAGATGTGGAGCTAGCCACCTGCTGCCCCAGTGCTCCCCACTGTACTGGGGACAGGTGAGCTGTGTCCGGGGTGGCTTCCTTGGGACCCAAGGGAGAGTGGGAAGGGGGAATAGTGAGTGTCTGCCAATGTCCCATCCCATGGGGGGTCCCATCTCATGGGGGAGTCCATTCCCTGAACCCCTGAAGCTGTTCCCACGCCCATCTTTCCCCTTCCCTGTCCCCTGGCCACGCAGACACGGGCCCCAAGGTGCTGCAGCCATGGCTCCTGGGCCTCACTGCCGTCGTCGTCTTCCTCTTCATCGTCTTCGTGGTGCTGCTCGTTAACCGGCTCTGGAATCTCAGGAGGCACAGGTTGGATTGGTGCGGGGGCCGGGGGGTGCTGGCCAGGGGAAAAGTGCGTGGAAGGTTGCCATGGGCTGGGGGCAGGGTTGTCTCCCGGCACCGTTCAGCCTCTCTCCCCTCACAGGAAGGAGAACGACTACCCGGAGACCCTGGCGACTGACAGGTACCGCAACAGCCTGGCTGCCCGCTCCCACAGCAGGGCTTGGATTCCCTCCAGGGTAGCCACCTTCCGGCTGTGCCGTGGTGCCTGTGTGCCCTCGGCATAGCCGGGTGCGGCCGTGCCGTAGTGTCCTTCGTGTCCCTGGCACGGCCGCGGTGCCGGGCACCGACGTTCCCTCCCTCCCACAGGCTGGAGCGCTCCGGCCACGTCAACCCGGCGGCTGAGGACTGCGATGAGCTGAACGACGACGAGCAGCAGAGCAAGGCCACGTCCCTCTGAGTTCTCCCCGCCCCCCTCTGCCCGCTCCGGAGCACCTCCGACTGGCGCCTCACCCTCACCCC